TCCCCAGGCCCCCCGCCTGCCCGAGACAGAGGGGCACACATTGTGGGAAGGGCGCCAGCCCACACGAGACGCCGGGTTATCTTCACAAAGCCAGTGCCCGTTGAGGCAGTGACTTCATAATGCACCATGTCACTCAGGAGTGTGGTCACCTGCCCTCCCCAAACTGATGAGAAGCTGACACCCCAGGAGCCCCAGCCTTGGCGTCCAGTGTCACCTCCCCTACTTAGGGCCCCACCCCAGCTGTCTGGGTGGCCCCACAGCACAGAGGACCAGCCCCTTGAATGGGGAAACTGAGGCTCAGAGGGAGTATGAGACTCGTTTATCCGAGGTCCCACGCTGGCACTGGGACCCCAGCCTGGGGAAGCCGCCCAGGAAATCACCATCTTGGCCGTCAGCAGAATAAACCTGATACTAAGCTGGTTGATTAAGGCTCAGCGGGGAGAGGGGAACTGAAAGGAGACTTGCTTTGTAAATAAAAGCTGATTAAGAAGCAGAGAGATTTAGGGCTTTGCAAGTGCAAGTCTGGCCTCTGCATGGTCTGTACCTCGGAGACACGGCCCCAGCCACCCTAGAGCAGGGACCAGCTCACAGGCTGTTCAGAGAGGGCTGGAGCTGACCCCTTCTGGGACGTGAGGTCAGAGGCAGCACTTTGGGGAGCTCTCTCCGGCTGCCGCAGGCACAGGGTTCCGGGGAGACAGAAGTGGAAGGGAGCCCAGTGGGGAGGGTGCTGCAAGGTGGGAAATGCTCCGAGCCTGGGTGGACTCTAGGGGCATTGGGAGGACAAGCGAGCCCGGCAGACTGTTCGGGGGTCAGAACGGGGCACAGCCCAGTATGCAGGCCGGCTCTGTGAGGACAAGGGCCAGCCCTGGGCCCCAAACACAAGGTGGGGGACGCATAGGGGGACCGAGCCCAGGTCTGGCCGTGCTGAGGCTGGGCGCTCTGTGCAACATTCTCGTGGCGGGATCCTGCAAAGTGTCCGTAGTTCCGGAAGTGACCGTGTAACCACATCTTAGATGTCCAGTAAAAGGACAGCTAGGCCAGGTGTGTCCTCACTGCCCTTCATTCTTCACATCTGCAGTACAAGGTTGGTGGGACCCAGCAGCCAGCTCAGCAACCGGGACCTCCCCACCAGTCACAAGGCCCCCTAGCTTGGATTAAACTCTCTGTAAAGCCTCAGTGATGGCGTGAGGCTAGCCTAGTGTGCTGCCAGCTGGTTTTGAGAAAACCATGGTATGTCATGCACGTGCACACACACACACACACACACACACACATGTATGCATGTGTGTATAATACATCAACACATACTTGTACACGTGCACATGTGTGTAACTACATATGCACGTGTGTGCATCTACATGTGTGTGCACATATGTATGTGCCTTGTACACCTGCATGTTACATGCGCACATATAATTTTCAGTGACCATCGCATAGAGGCTGCATCCAGCACTCAGTCATCAGAAACACAGAACCAGGACGCGTGGAAAACCTCAGTGTCATCTGTTGGGAAATGCTATGGGAGGGACTTGGGGCGTTGCGTAGGATTGGCATAACTGTGCGTCAGTGTTTGCACACCGCTCTCGGGATGGGCCTGGGTCGCGCATGCTCACAGCGTGTCGCTCCACTGGGGCAACCGCCAGGCACCGTGACGTTTCTCCCCCAGGGAAGTGGGTACGCCCTCCCGGCTGGAGCCTCTGTAGGCCTGGCATTGATTTTCACCAGATTTTGTTATTACGTTTGTCTCACAGCTTTAAAATAGTAGCAAATATGGGCAATTTATTTAAACAACACTAGGGAAATTAACGCCATGCGAGCTCATCCTAAGCAAATGAAGATAAAGCAGGGAGTTTGGGTTTTTGGTATTTTTTTTTTAATGGCTGTATGAAAACCTTTAAAATTCTGAGTCTGGAATTCAGAGGGCTCTGGTGAGCTTCCGCTGGTCCCCAAGCCTCACCACCCGTGAGGCAGGGAGACGGAGCCCAGCGGATGGCCAGCACCCCCTCCCAGAGGCTGTGTGTGTGGCCGGGGCTCCCGTGTCGTATCATGTGAGGTTTGTTTGGCCAAGTCTGTCTGGCTGCCCTAAGCAGACATGCTCAAGAACAACCTAACCAGGTCCCTTCTCCAGAGGCCGCTACCTGGGGACAGGTGAACCTTGTCACCTGTGGTGGGGCAGCCCCGGCAAACTTGTGAGTTTGTGGTGCACATCAGTCACCTGGAGGGCCCCTGATATGCAGACTGTGCACGTCCCCCGCCGCCTCAGAGGTAGGAAATCCCAGCTGGCCCTGGACTTTGCATTTCTAACCAGCTCCCTGGAGCCAACACTGTGGGAACTCAGAGCTCTCCCTCACCTGTGAGGCTTGTCACGACACCCTGCGTGCTGGCAGCACCCCCACCTCCTAGAGGGGAATGTTGACTTCTGCCCAGCCCACCTAACATGAGGACCAGTGAAGGGAATGTGACCTCACAGGCAGAGACCCCAGAACGGGGGGTGGCACTCCACCAGCTGCGCTGGCCTTGGTTTGGACTCCAGCATTCAAATCCTGTCTCTGCCTAACGAGCTGTGTGACCTTCAGAAGTGACTCAGCCTCTCTGAGGTCCCCTGTTGCCTTCCCAGTAAAGTGTGGGTGATGACGCCCCCTGCTGAGTTGGTGATGGTGAGGATTTGGGCAGAGACACCCCTGTGGGCGTGGGAAGCAGCTGTCTTGCTCAGCTGTAGGGACAACGTGTACCCAGGACTGTCCCAAACACAGCCCTGTGACGCTCGTAAGGAACCCAGAGATGTCCCCACCCTGTGTCACCATGAGAGACTGAGGGCCAGTCACAGGCAACACCTATCAGTTTGACTTGAAGAGAGAAGCTGTGTAATGTCCTATTTCCATAGAAAAAGGCCACTGGGGAAATACCCACCTTGCATGGCTCCTTTGTGAGGAAGGGTGGGAGTGACCTAGGAAAGCCTTTGGGTTTTAATTGCAAACTCTTGAATACAGGAGCTCAGCACGATGAGACAGCTGGGACCCTGATGGGGACAGTTCCAGAGGGGCCTCTCAGTGGAGTGTGGCGTGTCCAGACGGGTTTTTCCATTGATGGAGCTATACGTTTGGGCGTTCGGGATGGATATAAGACTCTTTATTGCATCAATTACGCAGTTTTGTGTACATGTGTTAACTTTCTGCTATGCAGCTTTTTGGAAAAAGGGACTGGGCAAGATTCTTTGTCCACAGAGGGCAAGGATGCTACGACCAGCGGGGTCCCTGAGGGGCCTGGAGCGCAGCTGGAGGGTGGGGACTCGGCCACGAGTGGCCAGGTGCCTCCAGCCAGCTTTGTCCTCCCTGCTTTGGACTGTCCTGGTCCAAGGTCTTCCATGTCACCTCGCATATGCTTTAGGCTCCAAGCCTCGGTGGGAAACGGCATCGACTGTGAACACGTCGCCGAGGCACGCCATGCGGGCGCCTCGAAAATAGACACGAGGTGACACATGCGTGGATGTCATGTGTGTACATGAAGTTCTGCTGGCTTTTAATTATGGAAAGTTGTGCACATGATGACATTCAGCTACAGAGACAGATAAAAGGGATAAAGTAAAACAAAACAGCATGAAAGCCGCTGGTGACAGAGAAAACCAGAGTTGACGTTTTGATGTATTTCCTTCCAGCCTTTTCTCTATCCTTTAAAAAAAAGATAGAAAAAAATCGAACTCATGCTGCATATGTACGTACTTTGGTGCCAGTTCTCCACATACTATTATTTTATGGACATTTCTTCACGTCAGAGTTTTCAAAGAGTAACTTTTAGTGACTATGTAATGTCACGTGGCATAATGCGTGTAACTCCTGTTTACTATCAGACATTAGAGATGGTTTTTCTGGTATTTTTAGTATATATATATATATATATATGTGTGTGTGTGTGTGTGTGTGTGTGTGTGTGTAAATTATTATAAAACCACCTGCAGTGAGCATCTTAATATGGAAATTTTGTCCACATATACTTGCTCTGGGACAGATTTCTGGCTGTGAAGTTACCTGAGGCTCTTGACAGTCCCTGGCAGACAGATGGCAGGCGGGCTGTGGTCAGCGCCCAGCAGGGGTGACCCCATCAGGTCAGCACAGCCACCATCAGTCCCCTGCCTCACCACCAGGCAGGGGCTCTGAACAGTTTAATTCCCATGGCAACCTTCTGAGTTCAGCACTATCATCACCCTCCCGTTTTGTAAAAGGAGTGTCTGGAGTTTGGAGACATTAAGGGGCTGGCCCCATGTCACATAAATCTTTGGATGCGCGGAAATATAAGGTCTGCTTCACGCCAAGCCCCATGTCCTCAACCATCACCCTCTAGTGACGAAGTCACAACACACTCCTCAGTGCTGAGGGGTCACTTTGGCTCATCGTGTCACTTTGGTAGGCAAAGAGGATATATTACTTTAATTTGCATTATTTGATTACTGAAAACACCAGCATTTGTATAAGTTCATTGATCCTTTATATTTATTTTGCTGTTAGTTATCTATTCATGTCTTTTTCGTGTTATAAAATAGATTCAAATTTTTTTGTTGATTTGTAAGAACTCTTTATATAGTAACACTGTTAACCCTTTGTCCGATTTGCTGTAAATCAAGGGTTCCAAATTCGTCGGTTGCTTTTAGGATATGTTTTATATAAACATGAGTTTTAAATTAAAATGTCCTCATCTTTCCCTTTTGTGATTTTTTTCCACTTGAGGGGGATTTAAAAGCTGTGACCCACTCAATTGGTTAAATAGCCAACTATATTTTCCTCTTTTTTATGGTTTATTTCAACCCATTTAATTCTGTAACCGATGAGGGCCTTGCCTGATAGTTCTCCTCCTAACTCTTGGCCCGTTTTCCCAACTTCGTCCAATCTTTCTGTCGATCTGGAGAAGTACAGATTTGCTGAACAGACGCCTTTTCCACTGGGCAGAACTTAACCAGGCTCTGTGTCTCTTCTCCCCCCACCCACCCCCCACCCCTGACGGTGCAGAAAGGGAAGAAGGCTGCAGCCCCCGACCCCGCTGGACCGCTCAACGACACCCTGCTGCCGTGGCCCCAGCATCAGCACGCCAATGGGTTGAGGCGACAGAAACGGGACTGGGTCATCCCACCCATCAACGTGCCAGAAAATTCACGTGGGCCCTTCCCACAGCAGCTCGTGAGGGTAAGTGCAGCCCCGGCCTGCGGTGGGGGATGGGGGAGGTCTCGGCTGCAGCCCCAGCCTCTCTGGGGACCTTGCAAATCAGGCCTGATGGGCTTGTCCCTGGAACGGGGTCGGGGGCGGTCAGCATTTGATGTCTAAGGAGGTTGGGGTTTCGCCTTTCCAGTAGCAAGATAAGTGTGACATAGAATTACAGAGCAGAGGAGATTCAGGCGATCGCGTCATCCACGGCGGACCAGCTGCTTGAGTTGGGTCCTCTCTCTCTTGGTTACTGTCAAGTGCTCTCAAGAGTGGAAGGAGGTGAGGCGGGGCCTTTGACCTCTGACACCTGTCTTTGGCCTGATAGTTCACACTTCTTCCCAATTATGACTGAGCTACTGAGCGGTGGCATGGTGCCATGTCTCTGGTGATGACCTTGGTGACTGGGACTGTGATGCCAGGTGGGCAGCTTTGTCGGACAGCCAATGATGTAATCAGTCGCGCCGATGTAATGAGGCCTCTATAAAACCCAAAAAGACGCAGTTTGGAGAGCTTCCGGGGTAATGAACACGTGGAGGTGGGGGAGATGGCGTCCCGGAGAAGGCATGGAAGCTTCGTGCCCGTCTGTCCTCATACCTGGCCCTACACATGTCTCCCCCCTGGCTGTTCCTGTAAGGCCTTTATAATAAACTGAAAATCTGGTGAATAACCTGTCAGCTGCTCTAGCACATTAATCGGAAGCACGGAACGGGCCAGGGGAACCTGTGATTTGTAGCCAATAGGCCAGAAGCTGAGGTGACAGTCTGGACTTGGGACTGGTGTCTGGAGTGGGGGCGGTCGTGTGGGACCAAGCCCGTTACCTTGGGACCCACGCTGTCTCTGAGTAGATGGTGTCAGAATTGAGTAAACTGCAGGACACCAGTTGGTGTCACAGAAAATGGCTCTGTGTGGGAAAAATACCTACAAAGCTGGTGTCGGAAGGTGGGTGTGGTAGTCATGTGACCTGCAGGAGAGCTTTTCCAGCTCATAAAGCCGGCCCCCCAACCTCAGCCCCCTCCCAAGATGGGGAGCCGGGATTTCTGAAGCTGTCACCAGCCTTTGGACCAGATTGGGTTGGAGTTTTCACTGCGGAATGGAGGTAAGGACTTGAGCGAAGGAAACCCTCAAGGATCGAAACCCCAACCTGGGCGTCATTTCCCCGGACTCCCATCTTCCGGGCCCGTCCGCCAACCTCCACTACCGAGCCCGGGGAGGGGGCTGATAACCGCTCTGTGGCCCCCCTGCGTTCACACCTTCCATGCGCTCGTCATATCCAACTATTGCGTGTCGTTTAGTTATCCTACAAGGAGACGTTGTGTTAGATCACAGCTGGAAAGCTGGCATTGTTTGTTACAATAGAGGTTGACTATGAAACAAGCACACAGCAGAGAAAACAGACCTATACTTACTGCCTGGGTGCTTCGCCGTCCACACTCACAGCCCGACGGCTGCCTCCACTTGTTTGGGAGGAGGAGTCGACCTTGGAGTGTCGTAAAGATACACCAGGACCAGAGGCCTCCTCCTGAATGCCATATGTCATCAGGATTGAACGCCAGTGGAAAGGGAGTGAGTTTTTCATTGTGTGATTCCGTTTTATTTAAAGCCTTGTGTTTGTACTACCCAAAAATCACCTCTAGTAGAAAACTGTTGATCTAACGTGGGTGGGCAAACTTTTTCTGTAAAGAGCCAGATAGTAAATATTTTAGGCTTTGCAGGCTGATCGGCCTCTGTGGCCTTTGGACTGTGAGAGCTGCCACAGGCAATGTGTAAACTAACAGGTGTGGCTGTGTTCCAATAAAACTTTATTGATGAACACAGGCTGTGGGCCGGATTTGGCCCATGGGCCACAGCAGGGACGTTATAGTGAGTGAGTGAGTGAGTTTGTAATGAACGCTGAGGGCTCTGTGTACTAACGCACCAGAGAATACGCACATGACATTGGGCAAGCATCTGAGCCCTGCTGGAGAGCTCCTTTGTCCTGGCTTTCAGAGTTTCTCAGGTTAAGGATCCAAAGACACGGAGCTTTCTTGTCTGTGCCTGTCTGTACACAGGCCCGTAATAGGTACCAGGTAGAGACAGGCCAGCATGGGCAGAGCCCTGGTCCTGCTAGGATGCCCAGGATCTGCTGGGATCGTCGGTCCTGCTGCATCCGTCTTCTGCTGGACAGTGCGGGGAGAATGTACTTCTGTACGTCTGCCTGACTGACCTCCGGAGGTCTCGGCCTGAGAAGTGGGGGCCGGCAACGGGCTAACGGAAGAACTGAGTCCTCCCAGACTGGCAGGCTTGGGTCTCCTAACGGGCCCCATGGGCATGTTGATGGGACATTTCTTCTCGTGACGTCACAGTGACATCTGTGTGTCATTGGGGAAATGCTGCGTTTTCCAACTTGAACAGCTACCGAACAGGGACATTTGCCCAGTTAGCACAAACCTTGCAGGATCTGGCTGAGAAAGGAGCAGGCAGCAGGTTCCTGGAGATGGTCCCTGACATTTCTAAACTAGAGCTGTGGAAAGGCAATGGGGATGTGATGTTAGGTGTCAGCTGAGAAAAGCTGCAAGCTCTGTGGTGCTGGGGGCCATCACGGCAGCTCAGATGCTCTAAGGGGCAACGCGGCACCTTCTGTGTTCTCGTCTGCAGTGTTGCTGTGGCTTGGAGCGAATTTGTCCCCTGCGCCTGGGACACCCTGACGTGCCCAGCAGCCCTATAGGGGGGCCACCCCCAGGCTGGAACAGGCTGTGAGCGAAGAAGGGTGGGGTATAGGTCACGGTTGGCTGACTGCTATCATGAGCATCCCCAAAATGTCAGAAACCTCACAAAACAGAGGCTTGTTTCTTGCTCCTGTGAAGGTCACCTGGGGGAGTCACTCAGGCCCAGAATGAGGACCCCAGGATGACTAGGTGGACTTGGCATGCATCAGCCGTGTGGCCACGCCTGATTGCAAGGGACACTGGGAAACGTAGACCAGCTCTGCCGAGGAGGAAAGGAAATGTGTGTGAACAGCTGGTCTCTGCCATGGCAGGTTTCTCCAGATGACAATAGTGTGTGTCCTCTCCTCTCTGATGACCCAGCTGTGCCAAGGAGCCCAGGGCCCGCAGGTGGCCGAGGCGAGCAGCCAGACCTAACTCACCAGCCTCCCCCAAGCCTGGCCTCCCTTTACCTCACTGCCCTGATTAACTTTCGCCATAGCACTTAGTACTGTCCTATTTCATGTTGTTACTTACTCGTCTAAGAGCGTGTCTCCTGAATCAGAGGCCCTGCCTGTTTCTCTAGTGTGTAAGCAGCCCTGACACACAGTAGGCACTATCTTTGTTGAATGAATGAATGAATGAATGAATGAATGAATGAATGAATGAATGAGATGGGCGTCCAAGCCCGGCTGAATTCTCATGGGGAGCTACCTCTTCGGCCAATGGAAAATGGAACCTCTGTTACGGTTTCTATAAATGATGTGTCTCTTCCAAATGGACTCCAAGTCATTATGGAAGAACTCAGCCCAGAAACACACATGTGTGCGCACACACACACCATCCCACTTCACACACTCACACACACACACACACGCTCACACACTCATAGCTCACTTTCTGCATGCCTCCCCTCCCCCATTAAATTCTTGTCCAGCACAGACAGGGTTTGGGGTGCTTTTCCGCCTCCGTTTCTGTCTCCAGGGAGTTGATGAGTTTCCTGTCAGTGATCTGGGGGGGCTGCTTCTGAAAGGAGCCCAAATCACAGCGAGAGTGAATACAGCTTGATGGGGCGCAGGAAGCTGAGCACAGAGCACTCGGAGGTTCAGCTGGGATCAGCTGCAGCGCTCTGCTCATTAAGGCATTTCATTCTGATAAAACAAGTTAAATGGAAAATGGGAGGAGAGGAGCAGGCAGAATGTTCTTCCCAAAAAAACCGCTGTTGATTGCAGGCGTTTTCCTGGGAGGAACATCGCGCCTCCTGAGAAGCACTGGCGCTCCGTGCCGGGAGGCTCCCAGCCTCCTGTGCAGAGAGGTCCTCACGTGGGGCATGGTGGCTGCACGCGGCTGGGCTGCGGGGGCCGTGAGTGTCCGTGGCGAAGCCTGGAAGCACTCCGTGGGCTGCGCCCACCGCAGTCGCACCATGGTCTAAATTGAGTGGCGGGTAAGCAGAGGCAGCCTGCCATGGCGGTCCCACCCAGAAGTTCCAGGATGTCCCTTCTCACAGCGGAGGACAAAACAGTCGCAGTTGAGCTCAGCCCCTAGGGAGCTGGATAGAGGCTCTTCCTTCCAGAGCAACTATGGGAAGTGGCAGGGCGGGCACCCGGTAAAGGTTAGCAGGACCTCCCCTGCTCCCCAAATCCAGCACTGAACTCTGGACGGGGCAGTTTGGGGTCATTGGTGGCTGCCAAGCACAACGCCGGCATTAGAGATTCAGAGGCAGAAGGACATGAGTCCTTTTGTGGCCTCAAGAGCCCCCAGGCAGTCAGCTCCCAGCTTGTCACCCACAATTTGGTGCCTTCACTATCATTAGGATTCCTTCATGTGTAGGTGAATGCAGGATTTTGAAAAGCCACTTGCTGCACTCACAGGCGGGTTAGGTTTGACTTTGACAAGACTCCGAGTGAGGATAAAATCAAACTTTTGAAAAGAGAGTGCATTTCTTTGCTGAGTCTAATAAAAATTCAGAATTTGTTAACTGGAGAGGCTGTCTAGGGCAGTTGTGGGAATTGGCTCCAGATGATGAGGAAGAAGCGAGCACTGCTGGGAAACAGGTCCTTTTGTTTCGGAAGCAGATATTTTAACAGACAAGAAGTCACGCAAAGCCATCCTCAGGGCCCCACTCAAGAGCAAGACCTGGAAAATGAGCTCTGAATATCAGGCTCCGCAAGGAAGCCATCGCACAATTGCTTAGCATAAAAGTGGCCGCGTGGAGAAGACAAGCAGGAGACGTTTCTACTTCTAGAGTAGGGAGCTCACAGAGCGCAGCTCCTCACACCTAATGACCCACATGAGCTGAAA